TAAGGGCCCAAGTTCGATCCCCAAAAGAGGCATAAACAAATGGATAGTTTCTTTCATCCTGGTGACCCTATTCACCTAGCAGTAAATAGGTACCTGGGAGTTAGGCAGCTGCTATGGGCTGCTCTCTCTCTCTCTCTGTATATGTATGTGTGTGTATATTTATATATTATATATATATATATATATATATATATATATATATATATATATATATATATATATATATATATATATATATATATATATATATATATATATATATATAAATATAAATATAAATATAAATCTATCTCCATATACCTGTATATGCAATAGACAATCACAAAACACTGATCATTTTTATGCGGAAAAACAGCAGAGAAATGTGAAAGAAAGTGAACGTTTTGGCCTGATTAAAGCCGTTGCCAACACCAGACTGACTAGAGGAAAGAGAGGGAGGGTACAGGCCAACACCTGGGACCTGACCAACCCATCTCTAGGGAAAGAATTAACCAGAAACAGGTATAGCTTAGCTTAGAATAGTCAAAACGGATTAAGCGGTCAGAGAATAAGGATGAAAGAAACATTCACCTCCTTTCACATTCCTCTGTGGAGTAACAGCCTATGTAAGGTTTTTCAGACATGTAAGTATTTTTCATATATGTAAAGTACCTCTGAGTGGATGTTTGAAGGAACATGTGTAACATGAGCTAAAGCATATCTACAAGTTGGCTTGCCTATCATATAGAGTAAAAGGTTCCCCATTGCTTACAATGACAGGCAGTAAAGAGTGAGTAGGATGGGAAGGTTGACCTAGTACTGTATATACAAGTAGCATATATTATTTTTTGTATTTATATATACAAGAGTTCTTACATTCTTGTACAGCCACGACCACACACAGCATTTTGGGCAAGTCCTTAATCCTACTTTTCACATACACACCCAGGAAGCAGCCCGTAGCAGCTGTCTAACTCCCTGGTACCTATTTACTGCTAAGTGAACAGGATTATCGGTATGAAAAAACTGCCCATTTGTTTCTGCCTTCCGCCAGGGATCGAACCTGGACCCTCAGGACTATGAACCCCGAGCACTGTCCACTCATCCGGCAGGCTTCATATATACACGCACACACTTACACAAACATGTAAATGTGTACACACACATGTACACAAAAGCATACAACAATTTATCTTAATACACATTTAGTAGTTTAACTTAATTATTTCCTTTAAATATTTTACAAAAGATAAAAGTGCGAAGATTGCAATTTAATTCGTTATTTCGTCCGTAATCAAAATATAAGCTAAACATTACAATGCATGGCATTGCATTGTTTTATGGTATATCACACATTCAAGCTTCATTAAAAAAAAAATCAACATACAATAAAATGCTGACTGAACAAACTTTTTTAGTACCAATGCTTCAAAATGAAAATTAAACGACATGCTATTTTGCCAATGGGTAAAAGTGAAGAAAGAAAGACATGCTGTTTTCCTTCAAAAGTTGTGACACATACTATAAAACATTCTACAAAATAATGTCTCGCATACTACTCTATATTCCTGAGAATAATATCTATCATACTGTGCCATTATTTGTCAACTTTACTATTTAAATGATTGGTTTTATAAAAATATTTATATTCAGAACATCAGTGAGTAAAGATACATGTGAATCAAATTGGCTACTGCATCAAATAACAAGTGTAGGGTTTGTATATTGGTTTGAAAGTATTAATAATACTATAATTTAAGCAATGTGCAAGTCTTCGTTTGCTCAGTTTTGTCTTAAAAGTGGAATTTGTGCATTAAATACATTTATTTAATCGTATTTAAAAGGATAGGACATTAGGTAAGAAATAGGTGGATTTAAATGGGCTAAGTATATGTGAGTGGGTATATTTGAGAAGGATATATCACATGAGGAAATCATGAGAGTGAATGTATTTGAAAAGGCATATGGTGTGAATTGGCACATATGAAATACATCTATCTTGAGGTTATCTTGAGATGATTTCGGGGCTTTTAGTGTCCCTGCAGCCCGGTCCTCGACCAGGCCTCCACCCCCCAGGAAGCAGCCCGTGACAGCTGACTACTAACACCCAGGTACCTATTTTACTGCTAGGTAACAGGGGCATAGGGTAAAAGAAACTCTGCCCATTGTTTCTCGCCGGCGCCTGGGATCGAACCCAGGACCACAAGTCCAGCATGCTGTCCGCTCGGCCGACTGGCTCCCAGAAACACCAAGAGATACATAGAGATAGATAACCATACATAGAAGAGATAACCATACATAGAGAAACACCAAGTAAACAGCAGAATATACTGAAGACAATATTTTTTTCTGCAAAGGGAGGGGGGCTTCTTTATTAATTCTAACAGATACATACACAACTAGTGCTTATAAAGAGGAAAGACGACAAGATGAAGGTGGGCCAAGGCTAAAAGTGTGATGCTCCTGGGTAACACGCTCATCCTCTCTAGGTTGTACCATGGCATTAAGGGTATGGATGGGTTTTGTTGGTTATATTAAAATATTACATTACAGCCTTGGAGAAACTTGCCAGGATCAGGGGCCAGATTCACGAAAGCACTTACGAACCTGTACATCTTTTCTCAATCTTTGGCGACTTTGTTTCCAATTATTAAACAGTTAATGAGCTCCGAAGCACCAGGAGGATGTTTATAACAATAACAACAGTTGAATGGGAAGTTTTCATGCTTGTAAACTATTTAATAAATGTAACCAAAGCCGTCAAAGATTGAGGAAAGATGTAAACGTTCGTAAGTGCTTGCGCAAGTGCTTTCGTGAATCTGGCCCCAGAATAACACCCATCTCGTCTATCTCTCCTCACAACTTCCACTTTTGCTTAATCTCACTTCTTCAGGGAAGTCTAATCTTTCAGCTTGGTGTTCATATACATTAGCGTCTCTCAACCTTAGCTTCGTGGTACCCTAAGGTAACTGGGGGGGGGTTTCAACAAGAGATAGTGATCAATAGGGTAATTCTAATCATATGTATTTTTGAGTCATTTCTGTGTTGAATTTTTCTCATTTAACCAGCATCAAAAGCAAAGACTGAAATTGTCTCCTTTCAGTTGTCAATGAAATGTTCGTATCTAACATACAACTCAGAATTATTTCAAGGGTTTGCTCTAGGGGGGCAATATCACCCCCATTGAGGATGGCTTCTCTACATCATTATTAACACCATGCTTTCTTCAACAATATTTTGAAAAGGGCATATGACACAAGGAAAGTATGCGAGTAGATATAGCTCAGGGTTTATGAGTGGCTACACCTGACAATTTGTGATACAAGGGAAGTATGTGAGTAGGTATATCTGAGGGGATTTATGAATGAGTACGTCTGAGGATTTGTGATATGAGGAATTATGCAAGTAGGCACATCTGAGGGATTTATGAAGAACGGATATATCTGAGAAGGATATATAATGTAAGGTAACAGAAGACTACAGAAGGCCAAAGATGTATGGAAAAACATACACAGAGAAGAAGAAGATAAATTAATGAGAGAACACCACAACTGAGCCAAACCCTATCTGGACGTTAATTTTCATGACATAAGAAATACAGGTACAGCAATTCAGAATGTACTGGGTTTCTCTTGCCACAGACAAAGCCCTTAAAGCAGAGAAGCAGTGTGGTAATATCTATAACCGCATAAACAACTATGACTGGATATTTTAAACATTGATAATCAATGTATACATCCATCAATCAATACTACCAACTTTACCAAGCTATTAAAATATGAGTAATATGTTTGACAAGTAAGAAATAAATGGAGATATCAGAGTAAATACCGTACTAAATAAAGGCAAATTGGGGGACCTTTGACAAGCTGCCAGCTTCCTGTCTTCATTGAGGCCACTAGTATAAGTGGCCCTTGGGTAAATTCAGGTAAATATCATAGACAGCAAATAAGAATGAAATTAACGTGGATAAGACAAACAGACGAGATGGATTATCGTAAGTGATATTGTATTAATTTCCCTTCAAGTGAGGATCGAGAATATAATATGGGGGGGGCGGCAACATTCTCAAAGACTAGTGGTCAAATATAGAATGATGTGCACGACATTACTATCACTGGCATTTTGGCAAAGAAAGAAATGCTGGAGGAATGATGAGTTTATCTGGAGTAATACTGAACATTTCAAAGTGAATGTATACAATACAAAGTAGAATGTATAACATTGAAGTGAATGTATATAGTACAGTATTTAAAATCACAATATATGCTGATATTAAATTGCAGTGTTGTTGAATAGAGATGTTTTTATGAAAATATAGTTTTGATACACGGCAACTTTTATGAACATGTGCTAGTTTTGATCAATATGTGAGACTCGATGAATACGTGGCAATTCTAATGATTATTGTAATGATTTAGTAAATAAGACAGTGTATTTATTCTAACAATTACTATAATGTACTGAATAAAAGAAAAACATCATGTTCTGCATCAATCAAGGCATAACTCCTTGCATCAGTTTTGAATGTTAAGTACTATTGTACTAAAGTTACTATATTCAAAATCCTGTACTGGTGTGTAAATTTCTTTAATATACTGTGCCATACTCTACTGTGAATGTAATGAGTGATTGAGTGAATGTGATAAGCCTTTAAAATACAGTATTCAAAATAATTCCCTATGGTAATTTGGCAACTAGCAGAAATACACACACCACTTCTCCTTATAACATTTATATTATCTCGTGTTATCTTTATCTCCACTCAAGTAGGTCCCACAAAATGTAAATATTTTATGTCTTCTTACAATCATACTCAAAAGTGAAAACTAAGCACAATTGTCTTGTGAATGGAAGTATGTACAGTACAGATTAACATTCTGAAACCTTCCTTCCATCAAACCATACACTTGAAGCAGTTTATATTAACATCTAAAAATATGATAACTATCTACAAGCCAATTGTTGTACTCTACATGATTTCAATGCCACCAAATTCCTGAACTGCTTCATTAACATACCTTATAAGGTGTAGGGTTGAGGTTACGCTTGTGGTCCTGCCTCAGTGTCTGCAGTGACTCCGTCACGCGGTCCCTGATTTCCTCCAGATTTGGCAAGTCTTGTTGGATTTTACCATCTTTCCAATACAGCTGAAATTAAAATGCAATTCTTGGTATGGCTAAATTTGGTGCTCAATACTGCTACATTTGATTACAGGAGTGGGTAGACAAATGGCTGCTAGAATACTACGCTGTATACCTACATTCATATTCAATGTAAATTATATGAACATGGAATGCAATCCACAATAGCGTGATTAATAACATTTCATTCATTTAGATCACTGGAGATTCAAACTTGGGCTTCAAAAGTATGAGTATCCCAATATACTCCCAAAATAAGTATTGTATCCCAATATATTCTCCAAAAGTATTACAATTAGTTCATTCAATCCATGATCCACTCTACAGCATATCATATGATGAAAATAAAAATAAAAATGTAGCATAAATATAAAAGTAACAATACTCATTATCTAAGTGTGTAATTGTACATGTTAAATTGCACAAGTTCTTTCAAGTTTGTATGCAAGAGGTTTTAATTGAACAAAGTTTCAGGTACTTTGACTACAATATGTATACTCACTTTGAACAAAGACTCCACTTTAGCAGGACTGACATATGCTCGTTTGCTCTCCTGGAATGGGTGTCGACAAAGAACTCTGCTGCCACATTTCGGAGCCGATTCCGAGGTCCGATGCATCAGGTCTATCAGTGCATGACCTGCAAATTGCATAATACAAACCATTAACTGAGAATGCTGATTTTTCTTCGTGTTTATTAGGCAATTAAGAGTAAAACATGAATGGAATGAGAAAGTGATCTTAGTGTGTGCTGTGAATAATGATAAAAGCTTATTTTTTTAAATTATATTTGCTATTTTTCACTGTATGCAAGTCAAGGAACAGTGTGAGTGGATGGAACACCTCATTTTTTGCTCGACCTTTCCAAGGTCAAGGTACAAAAATTACACATAGCACAACTTGCCGACATACTGTACAAGAGTTCACGATTTCTGCATGGAATTGAACCGATTTCCAATGGATACTTATCTCCCAGAACAACATGACCTTTTAATTCTTCACTAAAAACAGCCCACATCATGAAATAAATAAAAATGTACGAGTTCTGCACAGCATTAAACTACGTGGATAGGATTTGAGCTTGCTGTTGATAGGGCTGTAAGTAATGTTTCTCCAAGCCACACGTCTCTGTGTGAGGCATGTAAAAACTGTGCTTTGGGCTGGTGCAGCTTTAAAAGCATGTGTAGGTCAGAGATGTGGGGAATGATTTTTGCATCTTTTGTGGGATCTGATGTAATGTATAGCATGATGAACTTTTATCCAGTGAGCAAGGGTTCAATTTCCTACAGAGTCCATAAATTTTTCAGTTATTTCATAGTACAGCACCTTATTGTGAGCTCCTTTTTAAAAGCACAAAACTGTTCAAGGGCTAAAGACATTTTAATGTTAAAATGTATGAATAATACTTCCAGTGTATTGCACTTGCAAATATATGGTATAATGAAGAATAATTTATCCCCTTGGTCTTCCTTATTTCAACAAAACAGACGATGGGGGAAACTGTTAGTCTGACAATGTGTTAGCCACATATGGTTAACTCATGGACATATTCACATGAATTAGAAATAAAATCCAGTAAGCAGATAAATACAAAACTTACCAATAAAAACCAATGAAAGTAAATCTAACAATTACAGTATGTGGTGTCTGACATTACACCCAACTCCCCAACATCACTTATTGCCTGCAAACTGACACTAGTTCCTCCCCATTCTAGAATTATTCTTATAATTCACAAAGCCACCATAATTAAACCACAGCATGTGGAACAGTAATTTTGGTAACCAGTAGGTACTCTCTGAGTTAGACCTAATACTGTAACTCAAAGCTCTGGGTAATTCTACCAAAATCGAGCCCGAGTTGTAGATTCGGCCAACACTAGATTCGGTCAGAAATCCTAATCACGAGACTTTGCCATCGAGTTACTGAACAACAGGTAGAAATCTTTGTTTATGTGATGCAATTACATGTACATTAAAACAATGCATTAATAACAAAAAGAAGAAAAATATCAAATATTTTAAACAAACACTTATTATCAATTACTGTATAACAAATACTGTCAGAACTGTATGTACAGGCTGTATAGTGCATTTCCCTGCTAAAATAAGGGAGTTTATTTAGTTTGCCAGTTTACGTATAGTGCCTGCCTCCAGTGGATCCATCCCAGCCCTTGCACCAGTATGATCAGGAAGGGACATTTGAAAAGATTCCTCCTGCACTGGTGTGCAATACATACTGACTATGCCCTGACTGTGCATCATAGTCCATGGGACCATTATAACCTTCCGTAAAGAAGTAGCTGAATGATTAAACACACACAAACGTGTTGGCAACAGATACTAGAGATCAGTCAATGAAGACATTTTGACACCAGTAACAAACAGAATTTGATGTTAAAGTTGTAAACTACAGAATAAATAGTGAAGGATAAAAATAATGACAAACTCCAGAAGGTTGTGGTCACAAAAACAAGGACAATAACAGATGCAAGTTGCTCTTACCATCAGAACCATATAATCTATAAACAGCTTTCTTCCCCGGACATGTGACCTTCTCAACATCCTGTGAGAGCTTTATCTTCGCTTCCCCATTGATCTCCACTAACTTGAAGACACAACCCAAGGCAGGTTGTCGCTGGCAGGTTACTGGAAGAATAATTATTAAGTATACAAAGACAATACACACATTAAAATGACATTTTGCATATTATTGTATTTATACACTTTATTATTTATTATCCTTAGATTTGCACAAAACTCTGTTCATAATTCTGGCCTTTATTATAACCATTTGCCGCAAAATACTGTGAACAAGTGTGTTCAGAACGTGTATCGCAATGTGAAAGAAAAAATTGTTCTCAAGTATACAGAAAGGGCTAACAAGTGCACCAGCTCCTCTGGTTGTATTCTAGTACATCACCACTGTGTAGAGATTAACAATGTGACTCAAACACACAACAAATCATACTCTGATTCTAGCTAGTGTTCTAAAATGTATAGTAGATTCAGCTTTAATCATTTCAGTGAGCCCTGGCATCCTTGACAAGTATAAGTGCCTCAGAGGACAGATAAATAATATATCTGATATTGTATTTAGAATTTAGAAGTGAACTGCTGGGACACCCGTGACAACCTGCTGCTGTTTATATAGTTTCTCCACATTATACATGCACTTTATATAATAATTTCTTTACCTACAATGTAACCCACCTTAATATGTCCAACGTAGTGTATATTTATAAATGAAGCATACAGTATTTTAAATATATACAGCTCATCCTCCTGTTTAGGTAGTACTCAAAGTAACAATGAGGACCATCATACATACATTGACGTAAATGGCAATTGGAAAGTAGAAATTGGTACTATTGAATTTGGACAAACTAGAAGTTTTTGTATTGACGTTGTAAAGAAAACTGAACTTAACCTAACCTAACTTTCCTAGGCCTAAGACATGCTATCTGAGGCCTAAAATAGTACATGTGTGCGCTATACTAGGCCAGTGAATATTTAAGTTTGGTTTTTAGCTTTATTTCTTTTGGATTATAAAGTGAATCGTACCAAATTCTACTATCTAATTGTCCACTACGTTTATGTATATACGTTGGTCCACACAGTTACAAAAATGACTATCTAAACAGGAGGATGGGTTGATATATAATAATAAATAAGAGAAATCCAAACAGACTTAGTTTATGACCTAACAATCAGGGTGAGATAGGAGGTTGATAAAGGATCAATCGAGGCCAGACATCAAACAAACTTTTTTGTAATGTAATGCTAAGCAACCAGCTTTTCATAATGTATTACAGTACTTCATGAACTTTCTAATGCCATGATCAGTAGTGTTATTGTGTAAATATAAGTACCATACTTGCTACAATCTCATTTTCTGCTCAACATCAAATACAAAACACTTTCTTCTGCTTAAACCAATTCCAGAAGCATAGTCTGTAGTATACACGTCTTTTTTAATATTAGGCAACACTCCTGTAATAACATACCTGACTCCCAGGTGTTTGGCACCCCACAGCCGGCACCCCGGGCTCCAGAAGCCAGGACCCCCAGGATCTGGTTGCCAGCACCTCAGGGTCCAGAAACTGGCACCCCAGCGTCTTGACACATACACCACTACTGTACCCCGATATTCAGTTGCTCATTTCTTAGGAACCATTGGCACTTGGCTATGATTTTATGGGGCATGTTAGCAGGATGTGCCAGTAGTCTTTAACTGCACTCTCATAATGTTTAGTGACTTTTGACGAGAGGAAAGAAGGCTGCATTGATGATGAACCTTAATAATTAAGAATTATAAGTTGGTAGAAAAGAGCAAGAATTGAATGTAATGTAACTCCCTTTTCTGGGGGGAACCCCCCCCCCAGTAGTTCCCCTAGTTTATCTATAGTACCACCAAGCTTGAAGTCCAACACATCGGGCCTCTGAGCACCAACCCATCACTCACAGGAAGCCAACACCAGAATCTGGCTCATTCTATGAAGTGTCCAAGAGCAGGGAATCAGATCAACCACAAAATTTAAAAAAAAGATAAGAAAACATAATTGCAACAAAACAGGAGACTGCTTGAAAGATATTGGGTACAGCTTGAAGGTAAATGAATTTGTTAAATTGCAATGTATTAAGTGAGAGCAGGTTAATACATGGTACAGTACTTTAATATTTAGTTAACTTTTGGCATTTCCAGTGATATACACTTTTTTGTTTACCATTATGATTACTGAAACATTAAGTACTGTATCAGAGGGAATTTGTAGTAATCAACACATTTTTTTTCTTTAGGCACATTTGTGCACTTTTGAGAATGAACCCAATTGTGCACTGGCAGATGTGTACCCATGTGTGTGTAAGAGCGAGGTGTACATATGCACGAACAGTGAATGCTGCAAATTCAGAAACTGGGCCTACGTTGAAATACACTTCAGTACATGCACACTTCCCTATCAAGGAATGTTTCAACCTGAACATGACAGGCATTGCCAACTGTAACCAAATTGAGAGTCGAGATGCTTTAGATGGAAGATGGAAACAGGTACAAAAACACAGGCATTATGAGAGAGGTTACCTTATTGGCAGGACAGATAAAGTTATCTGAAGATATTTTCATTAGCCTAATCCTTTTAAACTCTTACCTAGAATTTTTTAATCATTTAAGCAAAACAAGATAAATCAAAGTATCTTATAATGTTTATAATCATACTTCAAGGTGTTACAATCTACATTAAATGCCTATTTCATAATAACTTTATGAAGATTTTTAAAAGCAACACTAAAATGTTTAGTAATAGTCGAGCCTGGATCATTGGTTGCACATATTCAGCAGTAAATGCGAAGTCTGTACCCCTGGGAATGGTGACCCAGTTCAAACTGTTGACAAAAATAATTTTTAATTTGTGGAAAGGATAAAATTAATGATGTACATTAATTTAATAACTAAGTTGCAAATTAATTGTGCATTAAGTTAATTACATGTATAATACAGTATATTTTATATAGAAGGTCTACTGTATAAGTTGGTAGAATTATTTAAAATTATTTATGATACAAAGCTAATAGATATTAGATAAATATAATTAATTACAAACATTAGCTCGCACGTATTTTACACTTACACACAATACAAGAATGAAGATACATGTTATAAATTCAATAATAAATGCCTAGTTGAAAAATATTTATATATTATATTATACTTTATATACTGAAGCTAGCAAACAAGAAACAAAGTTGTAATTAATATTAAGCTGCTTAGTAAATTACTAAATTATCATGTTTAGTTTAAAGGCAAATTTTTTTTTATTAAATAATACAGTATATTGATTTAAATGGTATAAAACTGACCCACATTCAAGAAAGTAGCGAGGTAGTGTATGTGGCAAGTTACATTGTTATGGGGTATTCTACCATTACTTTAGTCAATTTTACTGAGTAGTTGTAGAATAATAAATGAAGGTAACAGGCACTGAACTACACTAGCGCACACACTCACACGATTTGCAGTTCAAAGTTAATAATAAAAATGAATTTATATTGGTTACTAAACCAATGCATTAACAGCATAATGGTAATATGGCCCCATGTTCAAGGTAATACCACACAAACGCAATAGTATTAATCCGCCTACTATTTACACACACACAGCATTTTGGGCATGACCAGTTCTTCACCTGCAACTAGTTCTGGCATAATGGACGAATCCTAGATGCAATGTTTGTCCTAGTGGACAAACACCTCACAATCATGTCTGCCATCTTTCTACCTATTCCCATTTAAATCATATAGGTTCCTAAATACACTAGAACCATTCCTACATTATAAGAGCAACTTCACTAATATTCTTTGTTTCAAAGAAAAATCAAATGTGGTGCAGGTAGTTGGAAAAAGTGAACCACTACACGATATGTATTGGAGCACCTTGCCTTGATAATGTCATGTTTATTAGGTCTACCTATATTCTGAGAACAAACTCGGATTTTATACTTAATTCAAAAATAGCAGCAGCACGTCTTCAGCTGTTTTTTTGGTTTTGGTTTTTTACAAAAGTGGGCACAATTTACAAAACTTGTTGTACAAATTGTCTGGAATTTCAACGTACTCCATGCCTATAATATCTTTCACCTTTTTATATCTAGCATGCACCATGTCTTGTGCATGAAGGCTGGATGCAGCAGCAACAGCAGCACAGTACGCTCTTTGTTAGAACAATGTGCCTGGCATTACCCGAGGTGCCATCAACTTCCTGGCCTGAAAACCAGAAACAGAATAATTAGAGAATTACAACTTCCAAAAGTATCAAATTATTCCACTTATATAATTCTGGGAAGAAGGGAAATAGTCTATGAGTCTATGATGTGAGTATCTCTTACAAAGCTGCTTTTAACTACAGGATCTATTTTGACATACAGTATAAGATTAGGAAAGCAAAATAAAGCAATTATTAGATTATTAGAAAGGGAATAGATGGCAACAGATACAGAATGCAAAAAAAAAAAAAAAAAAAAAAAAAAAAAAAAAAAAAAAGACAGCATAAAAACAAAGATAGATAAAGACACACAAATAAGGTTCATGATGTATGAAAGAAACTGCTTTGCGAGTGTCAAAAGGCATTCTACAATTTCCCTTGAGAAGGAACGTAAATTACAAGGACTAGATCAAAGATTAAGGAAATGAACATACCTGACAATGCCGGGAAGCTGACCATCTGTACGACTTTCTTTTCCATCCACTATTTCATTCTATTCTTGTCGGTGCAGTGTTTATCCACTTTTTCAACATGTCAAGTGCATCTTGTTTATTGTCACTGGATATGACAATGCCATTTTTTTTTTATTCCTGAAAGAACTGGCAAAAACCTTGTCACACATTCCTGATGAACATCCATAATTGGATGTTGAAATGAGAGAGAGACTGTATTGAGTATAGACTGTTTACAGAGAACATTTCACTACACAAGCCTGGTCAAATCCACAAAGTTCATACTGGCATAAAGTATTTGTACACCTAGGCACAGTGAGCAAGGTCATGTTAAATAGAGAGACAGGTGAATTAATTGTAGGGAAAACATTACCTACTGCATTACCTCTTTGAAAGTATAAATGACAGTGGGTGATGATGGGGAAACCTTGTGGTTGAATGAGGTGTAGATACAGCTGAGGGGTGACTGTTCAAGGTTGGGGAGGGGTAAGGCTGAAGGAGAGTTTAGGGCAAGGGGAAAGACTGGTAGAGGAAGGGAGTGATGGAGCTGGCAGGAAAAGAATGATGGTGTTAGCGAAGTAACAATGATGGTTATAGCAGGGAAAGGCAGAGATGGTAATGGCAGGGGAAAGGCACTTGGTGAGAAGAAGACCGTGACTGAAGGTGGCCAAGAATGGTATTTGGGGTGGTCTTTATATATGGGTTGACATCTGGTGAGGAAGCAGATGAGAGCCAGTGTAAGGGATGAAGTCAAGGGGCCAGTGTAAGGGGTGAAGTCAAGGGGCCAGTGTAAGGGGTGAAGTCAAGGGGCCAGTGTAAGGGGTGAAGTCAAGGGGCCAGTGTAAGGGGAGAAGTCAAGATCCAATTTCATCAAGCATTTATGCATCAAATTAAGAACCCTGTACACCTTTCCTTAATCATGGTGACTTTTTTACATTTATTAGACACTTTATGAGCTCCAAAGTACTACAAGGGTGTTTATGGCCATAATAACTTTAGGTTGTGAAGTTTCTAAACTCAAACTGTTCAATAAGTGTGTAAACAATGCCACCATGATTGTTGGAAAATGTATGTGCAGGTTTCATAAGTGGATGTGTAAATTCTCAATGAATTCTGGCCCTGGTGGGATGCGGAACTGAGAAAGTCGAGAGTTGGAGGAAGACCGTTCAGCTACACACACACACACACACACACACACACACAGCTATACGTGTACAGTAATTCAACACTTTTTATATATGTAACTTATGCATATATCTCATCAGTTCTTATACCAAACATATACCACAAAACTATTACTAGCAGTGTGGGTGCAGGGCACGGGCATATGGTAGGTGGTGGTGTGATGGACAAGAACATGGTAATACATATTACATAGTAAGAAAAACATGAACAAGCAATAAAACATTAGTATGAATCTGACATACTATATTAAGTTTTATAATAAAATGTACACAAATTACTTCCTGGGGCCTACACTTCCCATTATTGTTAGGAACCTCTGTTCCTAATGAAAAATCAAGGCACTGCTCAAAACCAAGAAATAGTGCCATAGAGCTGCAGTACTCTATAATAGAAAGTAGCTCAGTAGATCACATACGTGTTAAGATTCAATTCAATATAATGAGCTCTATATGTAGAATGATAACTTCAACCGAAAATAAAATTAAAATATAAACATAAAACCATAAGGTAACCTTACTCAGAATACCTAATTACAGCACAGTATATAATATACACCATTAATTTCTACCCCTTTAACAGATTTGAAAACAATTTTGTCAACAGTTTCAATCAGGTTGCCATTCCAGTACAGGGACTAGCTTTCACTGCTATACATAGAAAACTGACAGACCAACATCATAACTATTAAAATCTATACATGTTAAACAGTTTACGAATCTTAAAATGTAAATATTAGTGGTACAATACCATTTCATGTTCTATTTAAATCTACTGTTAATAATTTTAAAATTATCAATAAGTGTAAATTAATAATGAAAGACCTTAAGGTGACCCTCACCTGACCTCTTATTAAGGTGGTCTGTCTCATAATACCTCATCTCATTTGTACTTGATCCCATTATCCCTCTTGTGTTATGAACAATTTTAGTATGTACTATATTTCTCCATCCATGCATTTAAAAGTGATTTTGAAGTTTGCAAGCACAGCATGGAGCTCCTCTCACAATCTCCTCAATGTGGTCCTTGGGTGATAGTTTACTATCTAGAACCACCTTATATCTATCTCTGTCAAAGTTTATTAATATCATTTCACAAAATTTTAGTTTTTTTTTCCACTATTCCACATTTCATAACGTGGCATTTATTCCCTTTGAATTCCATACATCATGTGTTGCTCCATTCATTAATTTTGCTCAGGTCATCTTGAAGGGCATGGCAGATATCGGTCCTTTTTTTCTCATTAGTAACTTCGCATTATCAGCAAACATGTTCACATATTGTGATGTGTGAAATTACCCAAAATATAATGTAAGTGCAGTGACTGGATGAGAACTATGCCTGTGGTGTCCCTTTTATATATTTTTGTCATATGACGCTTTGAAATTACTGACGTTTTTGCATCCATTTTTAGCCTTTTTGTTTCCTTTGCTTGAATCTATTGCTTCTTGTTCTTGAAGTTGCAAGTTCAGAAAATTTCTCCTTGTCAATTCATGTAACTAATTTGCATGTGATGATGATCAGTGTTTGTGTAATTACCCACATGTAGTTACCGGATGAGAGCTCTGCTCATAGTGTCCCGTCTTTCCAGCACTCTGTTATATCACACTATGAAACTACTGATGGTTTTGGCCTCCATCACCACCTCACTTAACTTGTTAGTCTACCACTCTGTGAAAGTGAATTTTCTAATGTTTTTTTGGCAGCTTTGTTTAGTTAGCTTATATCTATGAACCCTTGTTCTTGAAGTACCAGATATTAAGAGTTCTTCTTTGCAAATTTTGTTGACTCCCATTATTTTTTTGTACATAGTAATCATATTGCCACTTTCTTCTATCTTTTAGCTTTGGCATATTAATGCTCTCCTCATAGGGTTTGTCTTTCAGTTTTGGAAGCCATTTAGTTGCATGTGTTTACATCTTTTCCAGTTTGTTGAAGTGTACCTGGGCATTTATATGGGCACCATACAACCACTGCATATTCCAACTTTGGCCATGTGAATATAAACCACACAGTATCTATATTATTCATTTGTAAGTCTTACTATGCAGAGCATTGCAGTTAAGCTTATCAGTAAATATATAAAAATGAGACATTTTAAATACATACCCAAATGTGTGCCAATGCCAAAGCAGTCTATCTTGTGCCCTTGTTCATTCAAACTGATGATTGTTTCTTCATTAATGTCATTACTGGCCACAATTGATAAATGTTCAAACCAATCCAGTTCAAATCTGGAAATAAATTAATTGCATAGATGTAGCCATCTAAACAAAATTTCATAACACTGCCACAAGCCAGACAGATGTACCAGTCACCAATTAATAAACAGATTAGTACACAAACATTTACTAAACACAATTAATATTGATTAAATCTTAGTTATCTCCAAGTATTAGACAATACAACATATGCACAATGGAAGTACCAGTACAGTACTTTCTTACACTTATTATAAGACAAAGAAACATTGATTAATCAATATATCTCCAGTATATATGAAACCTTTTCCTCCTCACATCATACCCACCGCCACCTGCTGATAGTCAGTCATACCCACCACCTATTTGTTTTGAATGTCCCAACCTTAATGTATACAAATTTTGCATTCACATTCTCGAAGTCATTTACCCTTACACTATCTAATCTTTCACTCAAATCTTAATATTTTTCAAATTTCCACTTTTTCCCATTTGTCTCCAATTTCCTTACATTTAGACACTCGCTCTACTCTCTGATCGGAGAAGATCCACCTCCAGTTTATCCTAATTGTACACAATAGTGTATAATCTGACCCCCCCCTCCCAATGTGCCCTTTCAAAAAGACTTTCTCTATCTTTCACACTACTTTTATATCTCCTAGCAATACTACACACATTATCAAACTTTCTTCATTTCATCCCCTTTGACTGGAAGTCATCAGTTATTTATCATTGTATCTGAAGACAACAATTGCTTAATGACAAATTTGCTTAAATATCCACTTCATACTTTTAATTTCTTCTGTATCTAACTGGAAATGATTTACAGAAAAAATGTTGACTCGCTTATTAAATATGGGTCCAGTTATCAACAAGTGTAAATTTGGTAATGAAGAAAACAAGGGTACTGGCAACAATGTAAATGCTAAGAGGAGGGTAAACTTTAATTGTTTATGTCGCTCAGCCTGTCTAGGCTCAATAAAAGTGTTACCGGTGAAAGGTTTTCTACTATTAAAGTTCACTCTCTTTATGGTGTTACAACACAAAAGCCTATGTTCATAATAACACTTACGACTTTGCAATAGTTGCAAATGTTGATCTGGCCACACAACTGAGATATGCAAGATCTCCCGAGTCAATTCTTATACCAAGGGCTCTATAACCCAAGTCATTGAGCCCTAGAGCTACAGCAGAGAAGTTGAGAATTCCACTCCTGTAAATGTAATCATTATTAGGAAATACAGTACTGTACATGTTATCAAAGACCTTTCTTAAAAATCTTAGGTGATTCTCAGGTTTTAAATAAGCATAAATCAGTCCTCTTAACCTCTTAAGGAAATTTTACATGAAAACAGTTATTACATAAAGTTGTGTTTTAAAAAACATATAACTTCATCCTCTTACATCTTGGGAGCTTTTAACTCACGACCACCGTAGGAGAGGGCACGAGCTCTACCGACGTCACTACGAATATCCATAATAAGAGAGTTTCAGAGACAACCACTCGTATCCAACTGGGACTTTTAGCCTCTCCTGAGGTATCACTCAAGTCTGGAGGTATTGGGTTTTTTTTCAGGGATATTCCTGCACGAGCCCTAAGCCTCTGGCTTGCCCACTAAGGTATTAGGTGATCCAGTCAATAGGTGGATCCATTAGGTGCATCACCTAATACCTCCAGACTCAAGGAAAGGTTGAAAGTCCAGGTTGGAAACCAGTGGTGTGTGTCTGGGACCTTCTCTTATTGTGGATATTAATAATGAGGTTGGTAGAGCTCCTGCCTTCCGCTATGGTGGTTGTGAGTTTTAGGCTCCGATGGTGCAAGTGAATGAAATATTATTTCCACCTTTATTGTGGTTTGCAATTTATAAAAACATATAAAACTTAAATGATAATGAAACTCCTGAAAGAAGCAAAATATACTAGCAGTTTTTTAATCTTAAATGCTCAAAATTTACTCTAACTAAACATAGAATACAGTATAAAAGCACATACAAAGCAGATAAAGACAAAAACCAGCATTTAATGTAATGAAATACCTCTTCCTTGTAGAGCCTCCGTGACTGCCTGAATCCAAGATGATTTACTCTTCTGAGTCACATCAGCAACAGGAGTCCTGTATGGCCTACCAGAGACCAGAGTTAGAGCCTGGCTCCTTTGCAGAGGTACAGGAGGCAGGACATTGTGACTATCACCCACACCCCAAGAAAACATACAGAAAGTACATAAAACAACGTAAAGTATGTAAATTAGCAGGAGAAAGTGCTAAACCATTACAACTATATAACACATGGAAGGGATTAGGATAAGGATTTGGGACAGGATGGGGGAAAACTAGTTTCAAGCAGATCATTTAGGTCTGAATGAATCATTTACAGAGTTGTTTGGCAGTTTCAGCGATTCATTTTCTGCAAACCTTGTAGTCGTCTGGCTTACTTTGCTTACTTCCTAGATGTTTTTTGGCGAGGATGATCATTAACAATTTCCTGCTCCCTATGCCTCTCTGAGGGGGCCCAGTTCTGGTTCTGGACCCCAGTAAGCTACACAGGATTCCTATGGGAAATCTTCTCTGTTTTAAGGAGCCCCCTAAAGGCTCCTTCAGAAAGATACTGCCTTCGTAAATTCTACAAAACATTGTCTCCAAGCATATCAAATTGCACACAACTTACTTGAGCACATCGTATGTGTCAATGAGTGCAATAAATCCAGATGGAAATGCAATAGCAAATGATATAAAGGCTGCCAGCTCTCCATCCGAGGCTTCCGATTGGAGAATATTTAATTTGTCGGCCAGAAGACTTCTCCAAGCCAGTGATACATCCTTCAGGTTCATCACTGCTCCAGTCTCCTTGTGTTTTAGTGTCTGAAACTGATATCTCATACAGGAAAACTATTTTTGCAAAGGTATGGTCATAAGTAATAAAGAAATCGATCCATATCAAATACATATTCCCAATACAGTATATATACAATTTTTTATCTACCTAATATCTTAAATAATTCTTATATTTAAGCTTATTGCTTGTATAGTAATAGGCATTACCGAAAAATAACAAGACTAAATAAATATTTGTTTAAGTTATACTGTACTCAAAACACTATGTGCAACTAGTGGCTATGTATAATAAATAATTACTTTACGCACCACCAGGGGCCAGATTTACGAAGCAGTTACGCAAGCACTTACGAACCTGAACATCTTTTCTAAATCTTTGGCAGCTTTGTTTACAATTATTAAACAGTTAATGAGCTCCGAAGCACCAGGAGGCTATTTATTACAATTACAACAGTTAATTGGCAAGTTTTCAGGCTTGTAAACTGTTTAATAAATGTAACCAAAGCCGTCAAAGATTGAGGAAAGATGTACACGTTCATAAGTACTTGCGTAACTGCTTCGTAAATCTGGCCCCATGTATCCACTATATTACTTATGTATTAGCCATTGTATAAATCAAATTTATCTTATTCTTATTGTTAATACTGTAATCTGAAGCATGCCAAAAATATGGTCTTCTCAGCAAACAACTAATCTTGATTCTTGATCACGTGTAATGGCGAACCTCAATTCAGCACATCCATTACATCACTCATTTTGATTAGAACTTACACACCAAAGTCTGCAAACTAATGCACTGTAAAGCATCGTATGTACAGAACAAAGACCACTGACCTATAACCTCAATAATTTTATATATAACATTTCTAAACAAAAACAAAAAATTACAAATTATTATTATCGACCCTTTTATAAAGCGTGTTTACATAGCATGCTTTAGACATAACTTGGTTTTTATTTAGTCACCAATAATTTATTCAACATATAATGGGTAAGTCTCAAGAGCTCAACAGATGACGGAAGTTGAGGGTAGATCACACAAGACCTTGTTTGGGGAGCATCCAAGGGTCTTTAACTCTGGAGACATTTTAAATAGAACAAAATTATACACAGTTGGTCGATTAGAACGAAAGTCAGATTGCATCATGGTCTCATTATGTGGTTTTTATTAATTAGAGGCTTCTTTGTATTTAGCAGTGAAATATAAAGTCCAGCAATACCTCTGAATGGAGATCTTCAAGACAAGAATACGACGAGACGTAAGAATGTGCGTGTGTCCCCTTGACAGGAATATTATAAAGTTTGCCTGCCAAAACATTGCTTGTCCCATCAAAGCCACCTGAAAAATATACAATTAATAATAACCATTTCTGTATACTGATGAACTTAAAAAAATATACACCAGAGTTATGGGTATTTTCTGGGCTTCTGGGCTTGCACAAGGCTACTTGAGCAATAGGATCAGAATCTTGTATACTGAGAGGCAATGGGGGAGTAATGAAATCTGTGATCAATCCAAAAAAGTAAAACTTTCCAGAATGTACAAATGAAGCAAACTATGCATCATGATTAAAGAGGAAAAAGACTATAAACAACACAAGTGGTAGTCTGCCAATCACTAGCCACCAGGTAGTAGTTCAGGACTCGGAGGTCCATCCTGCCTGTCTCATAAAACATGTGCCACCACCAAGACACATCCAATTCCCGCTGGAAAGGAGCAATAAAGGATCAGTATACGAGGATTATTTTAGTCGCTCAGAAAAGGGGATTTCCATTACACTTAACATATCATTTTTGAGTTGGCCGTTCCATAGCTGCCCAGTGCATTTTTCCAATGGCATGTGAAAGAGGAAACCAGCTTTGCAAAAAGAAATATATTTATTATCTATAATACAGACAGCCACGACGTGGTTTGTGAACACCATCTATTCAAAAATGCCAGTTTCCCTATTGGGGTTGGTTTGGATTCTCAAGTTCAGGAAACACAAGGTTCACATAAAATGGTTCGGGTATCTTATCAGGCAAGTGTCCGACAGGCCTCGTGGCCCAAGGTGGTGGAGGGGTGGGAGATGGGCCTAATTTGCCCATTGATAGTGTGGGGGTGCCACTTTTGTGCCTACTTCCCTGTGACGTCACAGATTCACGGCCCATTGTTCCCATTGTCCTGAGAATGTGGTATAGTCAAATCATACAACTACTGTAGTTCAAAGCAGAAACTTGGGCCTGGAAAACCCAGCCCAGTGCCACACAAGACTGACTGGGACCAGGCACACTGACCAAATACCAGGCTGCCAAAACCTTGTTCGACATCTAAAACCTCCAAGCCTTATTATCAAACCATGACAAAGAGGAAACAGCAGCCCAAACAGCATATTTACGAATATCATGGGCCCGAAGGTAAGCTGCAGGCTAGCTAGCTAGTTGTCAGTACCATTGACAACCCGAGAAATACGAAACAAGGGACCACAGAAACAGGAAACAGGGTCAACCAACAAGGTACCCACTAATCATGGAAACTACCATGATTGGCAAACGGGTAGCAGCAAAGAGACTGGGTTGCCAGAGGTGATGTAGTTATGCAGGAGGTCCTAGGAATGAGAGTGAAGGTAGCAGGCAGGCAGGACTTGAGGTGACCTGAGCTGCCACCTGGTGGCATGGATGCTGGTGTAATGTGTGTGTACTTGTGGCAAACTACCATGTTACGAACTTTACCTCCTGTGGAGATTAGTTTCTATTATGAATTATTCATTAACACGAAGGAATTGATTAGAGAATGTTTTCTTGAAAGAAATCTGCAGCTATCTGCAACTGGGAGGCCGCAAGTGACTATTATCACCCCGCCAGTAAAGTAGTACTCTTCAGCTGGAGATCGTTTGTGAATAATGTGTATTGGAATAGCCAAGCTGTGTGAAGGAAAAGTGGACTCAATCAAAAGACATGCGTGGGGAATGTGGTTAATGGAGTAATTAAGGGGTTGGATTGGAAATGTTTAAGAATAGAGTATTAAGGGGCAATAACACAGGGGGGATGGACGCCATTTTTGACCTGACACGGTGCACCAGCTGTCTGTCCTCATTCCCCTAGACAACATTAAAATACATAACGACCCCACCTGTAACATACCTTCCCCCATGCCTCATTTTTAATCTTTTCTTTTTAATCTTTTCTCTCTAATTAAGGTATGTAGTTTCTTCATTTTGCCTGTACTTTTTGGGTGGTTTTACTTCGTTCTGGATCTATTTCAGATCCTCGTGTTCCCTTCATATCTATGAGCACAACAGATTCTGGTTCTGGTGTTCAGTAGGCCCGTGCAAGTTCAGAGGCCCTGTAGCAATCTGAATGTCTCCATGGCACCAGAGTCGAAGCATGGGAAGCTACCCAGGAGCCAGCCCAGCAACACGGGAATAAGAGTAGCATTAATATTAAGAACAGACATTAGTAAATAAGAATGTAAGGAAAACATCAAGAATAAGCTGACTACCTGTACTGCAAAAATTCAAGATTTTTCTTTAGAAAATACCAAATTATTTCCTTTGTGTTTGTCATGCATTATTATTATTATTATTTATGATCAAGTATATAACAAAATAATGAGGCAATTTCATAAATATAATTTTGAGAATATATATAAGAGAGAGATACATGCAGTGACAGAGGAACTGACCGACATAGGCATATTTTGATGCAGTGAGGCCTCCATCTGGTCCTTGAGCTCTCCTCAGACCAAACTCCAACAGCTTGATCTTGCGACCAGCAGCCATTCTGTATCGTGCAGCATTTGTGGCCACCAAGCTGTAAAAGCAAAATTTGAACACATTATTCATCATCATGAAAATGTCAACTGCTAATAAATGATTCAAAAAAAGGAACTCTGCAGTCAGTCATTATTAACTCACAATAATTTAATAATAAATCATTGCGTCAGGGGGACCGGCTACTAGTGTATACACAGTATATACACTGTATATTCAGTACATTCAGTGGGGAGCCGGTCGGCCGAGCGGACAGAACACTGGACTTGTGATCCTGTGGTCCTGGGTTTGATCCCAGGCGCCGGCGAGAAACATTGGGCAGAGTTTCTTTCACCCTATGCCCCTGTTACCTAGCAGTAAAATAGGTACCTGGGTGTTAGTCATCTGTCACGGGCTGCTTCCTGGGGGTGGAGGCCTGGTCGAGGACCGGGCCGCGGGGACACTAAAGCCCCGAAATCATCTCAAGATAACCTCAAGAAGAAGATACATGTTGGGCTTATATCTAGGTCTCCCCAAGGTCGAATTACTGACCCTTCCTCAGTATGCAACCCTACAACAAGCTGACTAACTCCTGAATACCTATTTACTGCTAGATGAACATGTGCATTAGGTGAAAGGAAACAAGCCCAACCATTTCTGTCCTGCTAGGGATTCAAATTCGGAATTATCAATTTTGAGTTTAAAACGAAACCAACTGTACTGCAGGGTATAATAACTAAAATTAAACCAACCCCTAAAACTACCGGGACCCTAATCATGTTATTACAGTACATACTAGCAAATAATTTACATTTACCTAATTTAACATGAGGGGCAACTAACACACTAGTGGACTCAATGGGGACAGGAAGCCAGCAACTTGTCAAATGTCCCCCCATTTGTCCCGATTTTTTCCAGCTGGATTATCTACCTCGACTATCTGAAGCCCACTAAACTGAATATTTGGGTTACCAGCCAAAATTGCCCCCCCCCCCCCCGAACATTTTTCTGGCAAAACTTAGCCACAACCAGACAGAAATCCAGATAACCCATAGGCTAGGTTAAGTAAATGTTAAAAAAATTACACATTTCAAAATGTACAGTATCAAACAAGACGACGAACTACAACAAGACGAGCTGAAGTTGGTTTTAAATTATATTTTTGATATATATGGTATGTGGAAATTCATATTATGTTGGTGGTTGTACCAAAACATTACGAATATGGTTATTTTTTTAGCTTCCCTGGTAAAAAATCTGCTTATCTGGATGTCAGGCTTAACCAGCGAGGGGTCATTCCCACACGGTCTGGATAAGAGAGCTTAAGTGTTCTATACAGTATTTTTATATTTACAATGCATTATAAATTATCTATGCTCAGTTATCCAAATCATAAGAGACCCACTCCTATTCAGCTTATCCAGACATTCAAGTTGTCAGACTTTTTTTTTTTTTATGCAGGAACATTAAAAGTGAAGAAATTTGAATTTATTCGGGTTTCTTGTTTGCAAGAAATTGAAGTACAGTATTGTACAGTGTAACCCATATTTCTATACGAATTCAGAAGGCAAGAACTTGAACTCAAATTTATTCGCGTTTCATGTTCAATGTAACATTTAAATCCTAATTACTATTTGGGTTAAAATAGTAAAATTGCACCAGAAATCTGAAAATGAATTAATTCAAATAACTCAAAGATATGGGTAACCGAAATCTGAATTACCGAGCTCTTTATGTAAATATATTACCTATCTTTAGTGACAAGAAAGTCCTAAAATCCTTCAACGTAGTGAAGAAAATGTTGAAAACTTTGATGCTCCATAATAGGTTAATTTAAAATATATACTACGGTATTCCATTCCATCAAGGATACACAAGATATGATTACAGTACCGGAAGTGTATACTTAATTTGATTTACCCGACTTCATAATATTTTTTTGTCACTTTATACATTGAAAAAAAAAGGCAGTCTTGGAGTACACCCAGCAACAGAATTATTCAGCTTACCTGGCATAATTCACGAGGGTGAGTAGTGTCGTCTCCAAGAGTTGAATGACAATCAAAGGACCATCTAACACCAGCAATGGAACTCTGGTTAAAAAAAAAAAAAAAAAAAAAAGAAGTATCATCTTAATTTGTATTGTTTAAACAAAAAAATTACGTGTTAATTCTTAAACAAATAAGAAAATCCTTGGTTAATGTAAATGTTAAAAATTACCTGACTTAAACTTGTACCATACCAGGAAGCAAAATTATTTTCAAAACTAATGAACTTTAGAAAAACACAGAAATACGAATCATCACAACTAATTACCCCAATTCCCACTTCCAAGGGGTTGGGGGGGGGGGGGGGAGGGGGTGGCACCTGCCTAGAGATACACGACAGCAAAAAGGTGAACAATCTGAATCTATAAAAGAAAATGTCTGCTTATCTGTCTGTCTGTGTTCAAAGTTGGAGGGCAGATGCTTGAAGTAGCCTTAGCCAACTTTTCTGGTTGACACATTGGTGATAGGTGATAATCATAGGCAGGTCAGGGTCAGCCTCATTGCCCCCCTTTAATAGGACTGGCTCTTATTGCAACTCCCAGTGACTCCTAGGGAGTATAAAATGGGGGGGTTTGGTTTTCCAGAGGTTTTCAACAATTTTCCAGCTGTTCGCTACATGCAAAACTGTTGTTAAAATAGGATAGAGGGGAGGGGGGAAAGAGGAAGGGTGGGAGGAGATGGGAAGGAAAGTGGGAGGGGGGTGGAAGGGCATTGCCAGGTAACCCTTCTAGTATATAATGAAAGGTCAGTATAATTATTATTAAAATATTTATATTACAAAACAACAATTCATTAATTCCATCATCCATGCTAAATAGCAAGACACAAAACAACCCCTACAACACCCTGGCACTCTTCCACAACAAAACTCTGAAACAACTACAGTACAGTACAAATAAAAGCAAAAAATACTGCAAATTAATATTCTCAATCAAATCATTAAACAATTTTCATTAGACCTTTTACAAATGAGCATGTCATGTAACAGTGCTAGCAAGAGTAATGGATCCTTATATAAGCCTGCCTGTATAGCATGAGTACAGGTATCCCACCCCCCATACACCCATTTTTATTTAACACTATTTTCAAGTACAGTATTTCAAACCTTACACCTGTGAAAAAAAAAACTCCTAATTTTTATCTTCAATTAAATTATCATCCTACTACAGTGTAATTTATAATGATCTACACAATCCATGATAAGCAATACCTGTATTCCTTTTTTCTCAAACACCACAATCTGGCTATAATCTGCTCTTGCACACGCTATCAAACATAGTATCTTCTACAATGTCTCCTCACACTCTGCAAAAACATCACATTACCTGCCTACAAATGTCATTTGATTTGTTAGCACCTCTATCTCGGTCTTTTATCCTTTAATTAACACACACTACACACCGAAGCATATGCACTTATAAGTGTATAACTTGTGTTACCCATCGTATATTTCAACATATTCTTGGAGTAACATATTCATACTACCTCACATATTTCCGTCATTCTCTCTAAAATGAACAAAGCATGCTCCTCCTCCTCATAACTTATCAGGTGTTAACTCATGTGTAGTCAGGAATATCCATTCCTGACCACAACAACAAATATAAATGGTCATACATACTGTACAGTATATGTTTATATGGTCATTCCTGACCATATAAACCCAACAAAAAGAAAGACTAATTACCTTGGAAATACAACTTTGCCTTCATCAATGGCATACACTTTCACATCTTTGGTAGTCACACTGGCCAAATAGTCGAAGAACTCCGGCTCTACCGTCTCGGGCATTGTCTCCCTCAGGTACTGAATATCTGCCACATACAAACCACAGGTCCTTTTGAAACTTAACCAGTATAAAATACAAGAGTAAATTTTGAATTATCTTTAATGACTGTGCACTTTGTTATTTTTAATGCATAATGAGGCACTATGTCATACCAGACAAAACAGATTGAAGGCAATTTGTACTCAATATATAACTACTGTAAAGGCAGCATGTTGGATATTGTTGAAGTTTGCTGTAAATGTACAGGTCTAAGAACCTACCCTTTTTCTTACTCTATGTGGTTTGCTTTAAGGTAGATTTATTCAGCTGACTTGTTTCAAAATAAAATATAGTTAGTCTTTTCAATGTTTTGTGAGAGCTTGTGAGTTCACATCCATGAGAGTACTTTTTTGATCAATTATTTTATCATTTATTTTATCATTCAGGGTGTGATGCTTGGGGCCTAAGAAGATAATATAGTAGCATCATAAGGAAATAGTACAAATTTAAGAAAACTAAAAGCATTTAACAATAACTCACACACAGTATACAAGAAACAGAGCGACTAACTTTATCCACAATAACAAACTAATATATATAAATATACCAACATATACAATATAATATTAAAGTCAAGTTATTATTAAAGCAGCATAATATTTTGCTCTGTAGTACAGTACAGTACTGTGTACACACAGTACAGTACACAGTACAGTATATACAAACCTGATTCCGAGTATGTGAAGTTCTCTAAGAATTTAAGACATTCTTCGAGTCCTGCAAAGATGGTGAACTCCCCATGGAAGGGGTTCTTACGAAAGAAGAGGTCAAATACAGCTGTATCATCATGCTTGCCTGATTTCCAATAGGCATAGGCCATATTTATCTGGTACATGTCTGAAATGACAGAAGACGTATGAGAAAACTGACCTCAATTTGCATTCAATATTCAAAAAAAAATCATATCAATGTAAACAAATCCAGAAGGCCCATGATGAGGGTTCGCATATCACATGTATATTATCATATACAGTGATAATATTCATATCACTGTGCTGTCAATTATTACTGATGGACAGCAATTCCTCCCTCAACCATAAAAAAAAAACGTGGTCTTCTTAAAGTTTCTCAAACTATGCAGCAAGAGCAAGTCTTTCCTAAATATTTATTTAAGATTCAAATGCTTAAGGTATGGATACAATTCTTAGCCAGTCGTCAGCCATCTGTGTATAAAAATTAAAAATAAAAAAAATGTAAAAATAAATTAAATAAATTAACACTGTACTATACTGTAATGACATGCTGGAGGGAGGGAGGAAGGGGGGGAAGGGAACTATCAAGGAAGGGAAAGCACCAAGCCATCATGATTATATAGCACTGGGAAGGGATAAGGATATGGGATGGGATGGGATGGGACGGGGGGAGGAAGGAATGGTGCCCAACCACTTGAACAGTCGGGGATTGAATGCCGACCTGTATGAAGTGAGACTGTCGCTCTACCGTCCACCCCAAGTGGTTGGGTGGAAGGGAGGAGGGGGCATCATGAACTTTTTGGTTATCAAATATAAGAGTCCAATTAGTTGTACAATGCTGCATCTTGAAATTTTATCCCCCCTCAGTTGGATAAATGGTCTTTAAACTGTAGAATGATGCAAAGAAAGACACCTAAGAAGAGTACTTTGAGTGTGACATACGATTATGTTACGTTGTTGGGTAGATTAGATACACAGTGTTTAATATTTATTTAGTAGTCTTGATTACAGCAGTAGGATGTTGGCAGTGTCGTAGACGTTGAGACTGAGCTTGGAGCAGAGCAGAGAGAGGCCGGAGCTGCGGAGCTCAATGAGGGTGAGCGTGGCGACTTGATGGAAATCGTGAGTGTCTAAACTCGATGGGGTGTGAGTGTCTAAACTCGATGCGGTCGTAGTCTGCTGTTTGCTCTGTGTTGAAGCTGAAGCATCTTGGGGTCGATTAGAACTGTACACGCTGAGTGCTACATTCTTGAGGTTGAAGAGGTGTGGTAACTCCCAAGCGTCTGTACTAAAGTTAACTGAATCACTGTGGAAATTGTACTATTGGCTATTCGTTCTAGTTTTAGATTCAGCTACTCAGAACTAAAAGTTCCAAGTAGCTATGGTGAGCCCATTGTGGACTTACCTGGCACAGGTGTGAGGCTATAACTTGTTAGTTATTCGTTGTTGTTGTTATAGATTCAGCTACTCGGAACAAGTTCCAAGTAGCACGGGCTATGGTGAGCCCATAACTTACCTGGCACAGGAGTGGGGCAAGTAGCACGGGCTATGGTGAGCCCATAGTGGACTTACCTGGCACAGAAGCGGAGATAACCCAATGGTTCGCTATTGATTGCTTAATGAAGATTAAGCCACCCAAAAGATGGCACGGGCATGAATAGCCCGTAAGTGGTGGCCCTTTGGAGCCATTACCAGTATCAATAGCTGATACTGGAGATCTGTGGCGCTGCGACTGCACCTTACAGAGAGGTCATGACCTCTTAAAAGAGTTGGCTATTCGCTTCTCGATGCTTATATATTGGATTACACCTCAGCTTCCTCCCATAGGATGGAAAGAATGTTACCTGTAATTAGGGAAAAGATTATAGCTTCGCAATTAGTGCTAATTGAGTTTGTCATTTATGTAATGAGAAGTTGGAACGAGTATAAAGTTTACTCGCTACATGAATAAAACCAATTTTAACATTCTACAGGAACAACAGAGTCCATTTGTCAGAAGAGCCCAGGTGCCAGTGAGTAGCCACACCAATGCTTTATAAGAAACACCTCAAAACAGTCATAAAATTAATTTCTGAGCACCTCTCCAAACTTAGGATTCAATCATGATTCTGTACATATATGGAAATCCAAATCGTTCCATACTGACCTTTCCAGATTATGCTTTTAAGGTTTATACTCGTGTTGGGAGGTAGAGTGTCATGCAAGCAGGCATCTCTAGTGCTGACATCATTCTGGTCTGACTGGTCAGTACTGTACAGCAGACTTCAACACCAAAGTCAGCAACCTTGCTGTTATGACAAAGGCCAATATTTTCAAGGTTCCCTATCTGGCTCAACCTCTTGGAAAACCAGAAGTTGGCAACCAGCAAATGAATAAATCCCATGCGATAATTGGGATTATCATATGGGATATAAATTGTCATCCACACTTTCGTGGAAATAAACATTCTATTCACTTGGGCTGTATGGGTCTCGAACCTTGGACCCTACGTGTGTGAGGCCGAAGCTCTATCGACTGAACTATGAGTTGTCCAACCCATGGGAGCTGGTCGGCCGAGCGGACAGCACGCTGGACTTGTGATCCTGTGGTCCTGGGTTTGATCCCAGGCGCCGGCGAGAAACAATGGGCAGAGTTTCTTTCACCCCCTGGGTGTTAGTCAGCTGTCACGGGCTGCTTCCTGGGGATGGAGGCCTGGTCGAGGACCGGGCCGCGGGGACACTAAAGCCCCGAAATCATCTCAAGGTAACCCATCCTCCGAATTGACAGTACGATTTAATACTAAGTGTAATAAGTACACTTTCTTACTGTCATAAACAGTGCATAATTACACTTATGGGGCTGTTACATTTACCCAACTCCCTCCCCAGATTTAATTCTCCTTGTTTTCTGTTAAGACACTCAGAATTTTATGATGAAGTTTTCAATTTCAATTTGCAATACACAAGTTTTAAATATCAGGAATTTCTTTTTCAGGTTTATTAAACAATATCGATTTTATACAAAAATTTAAAATATCCTGAGTTACTTTACAATTTATTGATATATTTTAGTTTTGTTTTATTAGTTTTATAAAACTATAATATCAATATAGCCATAGGTTAAGTACTAATTGTAATTAAGAAACAATAAAATTATTATCTTCAAAAACTAAGACGGTTAGGTGAGGTTGTGGTTTTCTATTCAGTTTTTCAGGTAAACTCAAATATTCACAATATATTTGGCAGTACGATTTAATACTAAGTGAAAATAAGTACAATTCCTAACTGCTATGAATAGTACATAATTGCACTTATTTGTCTTCTTACATTTCCAGAAGCAGCATCCTGCTGCCAAACTGGAATCATATGGGATAATCACAGCAACCACCAGCCATGTCGTGGTTGCCGTGGCCACCGTGGGTGGTGGTTGCCGTGGCCACCGTGGGTGGTGGTTGCCGTGGCCACCGTGGGTGGTGGTTGCCGTGGCCACCGTGGGTGGTGGTTGCCGTGGCCACCGTGGGTGGTGGTTGCCGTGGCCACCGTGGGTGGTGGTTGCCGTGGCCACCGTGGGTGGTGGTTGCCGTGGCCACCGTGGGTGGTGGTTGCCGTGGCCACCGTGGGTGGTGGTTGCCGTGGCCACCGTGGGTGGTGGTTGCCGTGGCCACCGTGGGTGGTGGTTGCCGTGGCCACCGTGGGTGGTGGTTGCCGTGGCCACCGTGGGTGGTGGTTGCCGTGGCCACCGTGGGTGGTGGTTGCCGTGGCCACCGTGGGTGGTGGTTGCCGTGGCCACCGTGGGTGGTGGCTGCCGTGGCCACCGTGGGTGGTGGTTGCCGTGGCCACCGTGGGTGGTGGTTGCCGTGGGTGGGTATGTGGTTGCAGATTTGTTTGGTAGAGGTTTTTGTGGTGATAATGGTAGTTATTGTAGTGCTTTAACAGTTTTTGCAATTTGTGCTATCGGTTTGAGAGGGAACTATGGAGATGGTTAAGGAACACAGTATGTGAAATTAGCCAAGAGCCACCTTGGTCTTGACAGGGATGGGAAGCCTGCGGTTTGTCAAAATTCCCCCTCCCCTCCCTCACTGTTCCTGATGATTTTTCTAATCTAGATTTTGAACTAAATTAATGTCTTGCATTTATATCTTCAGCAGATAGGCGGTTCCATGGGTTTATAAACCTATGGTTGAAACAGTATCTCCTGTTTTCTGTTCTACATTGTGGCTTGTTGACCTTGAAGCTGTTGCCCCCTTGAAGGCGTTACATTTGACGTCCTAAAGTAGTAGTCTGGATTAAGGTGTGAAGGATAGATGAAATTGTTTACGTAATAATCTAAGATGAGATCTGATAAAGACCTTTTGAGCCCTCTGTAATGCTTTTTTGCGCTACCGCTCACAGGATGGGTATGGGTTGCACAATAAACTAGCCGCCTCCGGCGGCAACAATCAAACAAATCTGAGTTGAACGTTTTTTTCCAAAGCAAATGTTTCGTTTTGAAAGTGATGTCTCCACGATTGGCTACGGCAGTCCAGATGAGGCACGACCATACTTGTATTGTTGAATAACCACTTTCGTTTACAAATATTCCTAAGGTTTGGATGAATTTTTGTTTCCTGCAGCTCCCACTTGTTGAGCAACCTTTAATGACTGCAGGTGGATCCTAACTCCTAGGTCCTTTTCTTCATCAATCTGCGGCATGATAATGTTGCTGATATGATAGTTATGATGGAGCATTGTTAAGCCTTACTTTCAACGTCTTGTTGCAGTTCACAATGCTGAAAAGCATGCGAAACAATCCCAATGCGCCTCAAGTTCAAGTATGTTTATTGAGACAAGAAAGAAATACATCTCAAAGGGATAGAGTAGCTTAGGCTATTTCTACCCCCCCCCCCCCCCCATGCGCCTCAAGTTTGCCTACTCTTCCGGTTAAACTTGTTAATGAAACAAAATCATTAAACTAAAACTAATCTAATCAAGAAACAACTTAGTTTCCAAATGGTAAACGTTGGCCCTGGCTGCTGATGTGTGTGTGTGTACACAGTGAAGTTGCTGACCTACAGGTTGGTCGGCACTAAAGAGGCGGTGACACGCTTCGCTCCCTCACACCACGGATGCTAATTCCCTTAATGGGCTGGTGCATTATGACAAAATATTCTGCCTGAGATGACGCTGG